AGAAAGCCCTGTCTTTCCCCTGAGGAGCGGCTGGTGGTTTCAAACTGTTGCCCTTGTGGTTGGCAGCCAAGTGCGTGACCACTACCCAGCAGGGATCCGTTGATGGGTGCAGGCATCCAGGCAGGGACCAGTGCCCATGGGCTCCAGCCTATTCTCAGAATACGAGCGACAGCACGAGCTGCTCTCTTCCAGCTGCTACTAAGCCAGCCGCCACAGCGCCAACTCCAGCTCAGGGCGACCCACTGGGTGACACAGGGGTGTCAATGTTTGCAAGACCTCTGGGCCTTTCTCTCAAGGGGCCTCTGGGTAGACTTTCAACATCCCACCCAGGGCCTCCCTTCACCCACAATCCGTGCCCCCTCCCCAGGAAGGGGTGGAAGGCAAGTGCTGCTTGACTTGTTCATCTTCAAAGACACCTTCTATGATCTTGCCCACTGGGGCTGAGGTCAAACGCACTGCTCTTTCTGCAAATCCTGGTGCTTCCTCTCTCACCTTCCTGCACTGCTCCCCCCCCCCCCCAGAGGGTGCAGAGCCCACACAGCAACTGCTATCCCAGCAGCCCAGTCAACATCACGAGGCCCTTCGCCTGGTGAGCAGAGGGCACGGTCACCATTTCTTGAGTCAATCCTGTCCCACAACCAGGCCCCAGGGTCCCCGAGGGCAGGGGGGCATGCCAGATTGTCTGCCCCAGCCCGCCCCCACCCTGGTGCCAAACACAGCCTGGGAGAATGCATTAGAGGCTGGTCCCCAGGACCCAGAGCCTTAGGGATGCCAGTTCCCTGCTCCATGCCAGGGTTACAGGTGGGTGTAGTATGGGGCCAATGAGGTTGTGGGAGTGGGGAGACTGGCCTTCCCTCCCTCCCTGCACACAACCTGTTAGCTCTGTCTTGTCCTCCCGAGTCCACCTTCCTAGGATGTGGCATCTACAACTGGGACCAGGACACCACATATGGCCTCAGTTCGCTGCTTCCTCTGACCACCACCCGACATTGGGCTAGCCTGGGCTCATCTGACAGGGAGGGAGGCCTCTCAGCCGGCCCTTCCCCAACCCTAGTCCTCATCTGAGTCTGAGGTCTCCCTCTGCCCTGGTCCTCCTGGCTTCCTTCTCGCTTCATTACTCTGCCAGCATCTTCCGTTGGCCCACCTCTTCTGCTCCCAAACAGGGTAAGGCAGGGTCCATTTCTCCTCCAAAGGCTTGCAGGTGGCCCCTTGGGAGGCATGTCCACAGTTCAGTCCAGTGTCTCTGAAGTTGGTTGTGTCTTAGAGGTGATTCTCTGCATGTTGTTGCTGGCCGCCGATATGCACCACCATCATCTTCACCTAAGAATACTTCGCTTAGTTTTTTGCAATCTGTGAATCTAGAGGATGCTCCAGGGCAGGGATTGGAAACACTTTCTTTCAAGGACCAGACTGGACAGTGAGTATTTCAGGCTTTTCCAGTCTTATGGTCCTTTGGGCAACGGCTCCATTCTGCCATCCCAGAGAGAACAGCCAGAACCTGGCCCTGAACATGGCAAGTTTCCTGTTATGTACATGGCATCCTTTTGATTTCCACCCCCACCCCCAACCATTTGACAACAGAAAATCCATTCACATTTGTAAGCTGCACAGAAGCAGGTGGTGGTGGTAGAAGTCAGGTTGCTGACTAAGCTGTAGGAAGAGAGCAGAGTGAGCTTGAAGTTTCATGTTCAAAGCCAAGGCTGGAAGTTAAGATTTGCAAGTTTAGAGGCTGAGCCCCCTCTGAGATCCTATGTTACCAGTCAGGTGGCAACTGACCTGTCCCTGCTGCCCCTCCTCTGAACAGCTAGGCTAGGCCTGGCACTTCCCTCACTGCCGTGTGTCCGTTGCGCTGACTGGATGTTGGCGGCCGAGGCAGATGTGCGGCTGCAGCCCCTGGTTGGCTTGGCCATCCAGGACACCCCAAGGGCACAGAAGGGTCCTTTTTGCAGCAGAAGGCTGGACGGCCAGTCTCCCTGTTAGGCTTTCTGGCCCTGCTCCCAGACAATGATTCATGGTTTCTGGTTGCAGGTCAGAGATGGCCTCGCTGGCTTGTTATCAGGAGAGCCCATCTCCTACTGCTCTCAGGCTCAGAAGCATGGCTGAGCGACCTGCCACCTCTGCCCAAGTAGATGTGCTTTTCAAGTGGCCCAAGGGCCCTGGGCTGGTGGACCCCAGCACTCAAGACACCCAGAGGTGTCCCCTCATCAGCCTTCTGCACAGCAGGGACAGAAGGCAAGGGTTTCTCCCCAAGGGCAGCCCCATCCCTCACTTGCCATTGGTGCTTAATGCTGCTTGATTAAGATGCAGCGGGAGGGCCAGCTGCCTCCAGGACGCAGGCTAAAGACCACATCCTGGCTCCCCTGTTAGCTAGGTTTGCTCATTTGTATTAAACAGCCAACAACAGTATTTAGTTACTGAGGGTCTAACCATAAGGCACGCTGAATAAGCCCAGATCACGGAAGTATCTTATAAATGAGTCATGTGGCCAGAGAAAATACCCAATTCCCAGTTAAATCTGACACAGGAAACACATTTTAAAATAAAATATTAATATGTGCCAAATATGACAGGGCATCTATTTATACTAAGAAACAAAGTATCATGTCAAATTTAAATGGTCTTCTTCCCCCTGTAAATCTGACACCCTGACATTAAGGGAGCCCACCCACTGGCCTGGTGCGCCTCTCGTACAGGGGACGGGACCAGCCTAGGAAGTCCCCTTCCTGCAGCACTCTGAGCCCCAAACAAGCCCCACGGTGCACTTGCCTTGAGAGCTTTCTTGTTCCTTTTTACATCCCATCTCCTCGGTCCTTCCTGGCCTAGATTTCCTTCTGCACAGAGAACTAGTGAAGAGGTGCTCCTGGCACTGCAGGGTAAACACTGGGCTGCTAACCAGAAGGCTGGCAATTCAAACTCACCAGCTGCTGTAGGGGAGTATGATGAGACTGTCTGCTCCGGTATCCCGAGGGACAGTGCTACGTCACTCTACGGGGCTACAGTTACGAGCTGCGACTGACTGGATAGCAGTGGGTTTTCCAAGGACACTGGTAATCCTCACCTCTTCTTAGGAGCAATAATGATATGCCAATAAGTAACAACTATGGGTGAGCCTCCAAAACGTCAATCATTTCCATCAGCCCCATCGACAATCCTGACCTGACAAATAATCATACTCAATTCACCGATGAGACAGGTCAGGCTTGGAGCAGTTTAGAGATGCCGCTCCCTCTGCCCAAGGAAGCTTGCTCTCCCTTTCTAGGAATCCATGCTCCCATCCCCCTATAATTCTACCCTGGGTGCTCCAGGGATTGGGCCACCAGGACCCGTCAGGGCTATGCTCCCTTTCCAGACTGGTCTTATGGGAACACCTCTCACGTGGAGCCAGTTCTTAATTCCCCCTTCTAGTCCATCTTGCCCAACAGAGAGGGGCCCTGGTGGAACAGTGGGCTGCAAGGGTTGGGCTGCTAACCAGAGTTGGCGGTTCAAACCCATAAGCCACTCTGCAAGAGAAAATGAGGCTGTCTGCTCCCTTGGAGATTCACAGCCTCAGAAACCCTATGGAGCAGTTCTGCACTATCCTCTAGGAGTCCCTGTGACTCGGAATGGACTCGCGAGGCTAGCCATGAAGCTGCAGGGTGAGAAGCCCAGAGTGCAGTGTGGAACCAAGCTGCCCATTGCTGGGCCAGGGGAGCCCCATATCTGACCTAGGCAAGCCGGCCTCCTGTGGTTCCCGGGGCACAGGAGTACCCACCCTCCCAGGAGCCCAGTTTGGAGAGCCTGAGGTCAATGAAAGAAGCACCTTTCCCACAGGTGTGGTGTGTGTCTGGGAGTTCCCATTTCCCAAGTGCAATTTCTTCACTTGGTGCAGTCTCTGAGGTACAGTTCCCAGACTGGTGACCACCAAAGCTAGAGCATCCCAAACTGAAGCCCTGCAGGCCTGGGTGCTGCTCACAGATGGTAAGGCCCAGCTCTGTCCCACGAGACTGATGGGATCGCAGGCAGCCTCAGTTGGAACAGCTCCCATGTACCTGACCTAGCTCCCTTGGGACACTGAGGGCAAATGAGCGATACACACATGTCCAGTGCTGACTGGACCATGCTACCCTCAAGACAGGAACTGTCCCTGGGGCCAAGTCTCAGGGAACAAACAGAGCCACCTGTTCTGCACAAGTCTTGTCTTTACCCAGGAGGGCTGCCAAAGTGTCTATTAAACCCACTGCTATCGAGTTGTTTCTGAATCGTAACAGCTCCATGGGACAGCGAAGTGCCCGTGGGGTTTTTAGGGAAGTAATCTTTACGGAAGCAGACTGCCACATCTTTCTCCCACTTGTGACGAACAACTTGGAGCTCCTTAAGTCTCCCTTAGAGATTTATAAAGCTGTAACAAAGACTGGAGAAACTGTAGCATGGGCACCAAGGACTTCCTATACTGACCCCCATTGCCTGACCCCAAGTCCATTCATCCACTCACCTACCTGCACCTCGCAGGCGTCAAGTAGAGGGACCAGCAAGGTGAGGCTGGGCTGGCTTCCAGCTCTCTAGAACTAGGCTCAGCATACTGTCCTATAGCATCACCGGTTACTTCTGACCCAGCCCTTGGGGGCTTCCCAGAGTGAAGGGTAGCAGCCTTCTGCTCCAAGCAATGGAATTTCAGGTCCCGCTGCAGTCCCAGGTGTGTAACCTGAGGTGGGACTTGTAGCACATGACATGGCTTAGGGGAGTGGTGCTGGCACGGCACTGGCTGACCGCTTCCAGGCCTGACTGAGTCTGGTGATTTGAGTTTGCACCAGTGGTACCCAGAGCACTGGATCAGCCTCTGGGAATTAGTATCAGGGGTGTCCAGCACACACTGGGCACTCCGGCAGGGCAGTGGACTATGTACGTGCCCTGTGTTAAAACAAAATGCCCAGAGAGCAAGAGATGGTCATGTGCCACTGAATGCCTGAGGGATGCACTCAACGTTACAAGCGTTTTTTCCTTTTCCTTTCTGAAATGCGGGATCAAGACCACAGACAATTTATTACGTTAAGACATGAGGTGGAGGATGGCTGGGGAACATGGGCCGTGACGGACACAGAGCTCGATGGAGGCTTGCAGCTGCTAGAGAGGAGTGGGTTTGGCCTTTGCTCTTGGAGATGTCCACGTATCTGTAAGCAGCACTCAGGCCTCAAGAGCAGATGGTCCACAAGTTCAGTGTCACCGGGCAGATGTGGTCACAGCAGCAGTCAACAGACGTCCGCACACCCACAAGGTTGGTGTACAGGTTCCAGGAGACAGAACAAGGGGGTAAGCATGCTGGTGGGTTTCCAAATCAAATCTGTTGAACCCTGTGACCTACTGGAGGTGCTAGGTAAACCTTGGGGGAGGGGGGAGAGCAGCTTTTCCACATAAGACGACGACGAGGAGAATGATGACAAAGGGAACCCCAGACATTGCTGGACGGCTATCATACTCATTTGCAGTAAGGCTTTCAGGATACAGGAATTTTTTACAGCATTTGTATTTTAAGAATTTAGGGCAATTACATTTCCCCCTCCTACTTAATAAAAAGAAAATTAGTACTTAAAAGGTTCAAAAATATATCGGTTGAGTGATTTTTTTTTTTACATAAATAAATTATATTGATTTTTTTTTTTCTTCAGGATTTAACAGCTGAAAAACCCCTTTCTGCTTCCACTGGAGGCAAACCTGAACAGAACATTAGTTAAATAGAGAGAGCAGCATTTCTAAGAAATCTGTCGCTGGCATCCTAGACCCTCTGTGCTGTAGGCACGGCAGGAATGGAATTCAGTCGCTATGGGGATTCTTTCCTATGTGACCAGTGGGCTTGTTTCTGGTTTCTGTCTCTGATTCACAAAGCTGGGGGTGTGGGGTGGGGTGGGGCAGGGGCTCCACTTTCTGAAAGCAGGGCTGAACTGATCCCCACATTCCCTCCCTCCCCAATCACGATTTAACAGACTTCTTTGAGATGCTCATTTTGACATTTACATAATTTATAATCCCAAATGTATAAAAGACAATGACAGAAGCATCATAAATAAATAATGCAAACTGAAAAGAGTATGTCAAACGTTTGGACCTTCGGATAAATTAGCAAAACCGTAACAGGAAGGAAAAAAAGGTGAAAAATACAGTAACATTGTGACAACAAAACAGTGAAGCTGACACTACTAACCTCCCTCCCACACACCCGAGTCCCCCCAGAGGGGCCAGTTTCCGGGGCAAACCATCACTGTCAAGGAAGACCTCCTGAAGGAGGGACAACAGCTCGGCTCCTAGAAAATGACGGTTAATCGGCAACTCAGCCGCCTGGGAGGCGGGTCAGAGTGGGAGGCCTCAGCAGCCCAGGGCCGAGGGAGCGGGCGTGCAGAGGTGTCGGACAACCTCAGACAGAGGTCATGAGTGCCAAGTGACTAGTGTCTGGTGGGCTCCTGGAGCGGTCTACAACTGTTGGTGCAGTGGGAGTGCAAAATTAAAAGCCCCTGGGTCCCCGGGTTCTTTTGCCCTTGACTGCAGAGGTCCTGGGGTCAAGGCTCTGCGGGCCTGCGAAGGGCGCCATTCCAAGGTCATGAGCCCCTCGGCTTGCCCCCCAACTCGAGGTGTTTTCTAAAGCTTTCTTTCTCACACCGAGTATCGCCTCCTTGGGGGCGGGGGCGAGGGTGGGAGTATACATACACATATAAAAGTAATGCCTAGTCAGTATTTCTTCTTGCTGCAGGTGTCTGGAAAAACCATGAAGGGGGAGAGGGCAATTATGTTACTACCAGTAAGGTTCTTGCTTTTTGTTTTGTTTTTAATAAAGAAATGAATATATGTATCTTCAACCATTAGTTATATACTCTGTCTATACTACTCATTTAGTAATCATGATAAAATAGGGAAATATTTCAACTCAAAAATACACACCAGCACTTCCCTTTTCTGTGCTTTTGGGTGTCCCCGCTCCATTCTCCCCTTTCAACACAGCCCACAGTGAGGAGAGCGAGTGGCTCGTGGCCTCTGTTCTGTAGCCTGGCAGTGGTGACCCCCCCTGGACAGCTGCTTCCTGCTGCCATCTCTTCTCAGCTGAGTGAGGAACTTGGGAGAGACAGGGGTGGGGTGGGCGTGTCACCAAGTACTGCGTTAACTGCGATGGCTGGAATGAACAGCTGGGTACCAGGAGGAGAACTCGGTGCCTCCTCGACTAGGTAGATGACACTTAGCTAACAAAGTGGCAAGACCCTGCAACTATTCACATCTGTCACCATAGTTCTCAAGACAGGAAAAAAGGTGGGGACTATTACTTATGGAAACACAGGTTCTCATGAAGGTGGAGTGAGGGAGAGATAACAAACCTTTATGGGAGAAGAAACTTACAAGTCACAATTTTTTCCCCAATGAAAAAAGCTCTAATTGGTGTTGTGGTTGGAGTCTTTGGGTCCCCCATCCCCGGCCTGCGCCATATGTTCTCTGTCTGGGGGCCAAGGGGCACTGACCTCCGAGCAGTTCTGGTCGCTGCCGGGCTCCCTCTCAGAGCCGGGGGCGGGCTCGGGGTTGGGGTGTGTGCTGTCTCCTTTTGCTTTCTTCTTCTTCCTCTTCTGGCTTTCCAGACCTACGAGGTCGGAGTGTCTGGCCTGCTGCATGGTGGGCAGAGCCATGCCCATGCCAGGGGAGAGAAACATGGAGGGGTAGATGAGTCCAGGAGATACTCCTGGGATGAGGAAAGGGTTAAAAGCCACAGGACTACTAGGAGTTATTGCAGGTTCAGACTGATCAGGAAAGGGACTAGACCCAGGCTTGTCTTCAGCTGAGGCATCCGTTTTTCCATTACGGCTCCCTGGCTTGTCTTCTGCAGTCTTTTCGGACACCAGCGTACCACTTTTCGTTGTGCTTGGTAAAGATGCTGGGGCGGGTGAAGTGCAGGCAGTCGTCATGGGCGTGTTGAGGAGTCCCCCAACACCAAACATCTGGGGTACGGTGGCCATTCCTGGCAGCATCATGGGCAGCATGCTCAAGGTGCTTTTGACATCTTCACCCGTAGGCATGGTGGCAAAGCCAGCCGGAAATCCCACCAGCCCAGTGAGCGGGATGCCCGGCATGTTTCTCATGTTCTGAAGTCCCACCAGGTCCATCCCAGCGATCAGTCCGTTCATGAACAGTGGCCCCATTCCGGAGGCAGAGTCTGCCACTATTGCGGGAGCTTTCAGCAACTCGTTCCGAGGCCGCCTGCCCCTCCTGCGTGGGCCTGCATCTCGAAGGACAGGTTCAGGCAGGGCGTGATTGAACTTGTTTTCTGGGAGAAAGCTCTGAAAATCGGCAAAGAAACACAAGATGCTGAAGGTTACCTGGTGACTAGGGTTCTCTATTGGCCCACCCTCTCCCCAGCTCAGTGGAGGACTCTGCCCACCTGCCTGGAGGCCCTGCCACTGCGCCTGCCACCACCCAGCAGTGCTTCCAACACGCTCACTGGGCTCAGGCAGTAGCTGCCCTGTGAGGAGTTATGCTGCAGTCCAAGCTGTGCAGGCTCAGCCCAAACCCTTCACCAGAACTCAGAGGAGCTCTTAACTGAAGCCATAGAGCTGTGCAGGTCAGAGAGGGTTTTAGAGCCTCACCCTGATCTGCCTTCAACACCTTGCTGTGGGTTTGAGCTAAGTCAGTTGGGCCCCGGGAGTGTCTGTGAAAAATGATGGTGGTTGCCATCTTCCAGGGCCACGGAAGTGCAGTGTTCAGCACATTGCCTGACAAGAGGGAAGAGTTGTTCCCTAATGATCGACAGGAGCTCCCAGAGGGCAACAACTTGTGTGCAAAAGCACACACCTGTAACCAGACACCTGGAATTTGCTTGGCTAGTTCGTCCTGGAGTGTGTGGGCAGAAAGGGCCTCTCTGGTTCTGAGAGGAGCTCCTGTAGGTCCTACTGGATGGGGGCCAGTGATAGCGTCATTTCTAACCAGTCTCTCGAGCTCATCAGTGGAAATCACCTCATTCCAGGCTGACCCCTACCCACACCTGGCAGTCTCTGGCCTTTGCTGGGCACCCCCCTGCATCCCAGAGTCAGCAGTGTAACCACAATCCAACCACAGGCTGTGCTGAGCCCCCTTCCTACAGCCTACCCACAACCAAGAGCCAGGGGAAAGTGCCTGCGTGCCCTTTTCTTGACACCCACAAATGCTCTTGACACCAAACATCCAAGGGAGAGAAACACTGGAGCTCTGATGGCTTTCTGCTACAAGAGCAACGCATCCGCGTTGTCACACAGATCACCTTTAACTTACTTGGCTTGGGTTACCAGTGAGAGCCCAGAGTGCCTGATCGGGGCTCCCATTTAGGGGTGGGACTGTTTCTCAGGACCAGCTTGCATGCTGCCCACTAAGTGCAAACAGCCCTCCTCAGGCACCGGATGCCCCAAGCTGCCCTGGCCCAGAACCATAGATGCAGAGGGAATGTTGGGTCCTTTCGCCCATTCAGGGATGGGAACTAGCTGAGGAGGCACCAACTGGTCTTCTCTCCCTCAGACGCACGCACACAACCTCTTCCACTCTCGGCATAGCAGGAAGAGCCTGCTAAAGGAAGTCTGCACTCCCCACTTCCTGTGGGAGGGGCCACTTTAGCAGCACAGCTGCTGCCCACCCTGGGTAGGTGCCCTCCCAGCAGCTCTGGGACCACACACAGCGGCCAAGTGGGCTTTGGCAGCCCTCCCTCCTGGTAATTACGGCCTGGGAGCAGACCTGCTTCCTCTTCCAGGGGAGGCCTGGGGAGAGGGCTGGAGAGCAGGAAAAGGAGACTGAGCTGCTGGAGGGAGTGTTCCTGAAGACCTGCTCCCCAGAGGACCATGTGTCAAGGCAAGGGGCATGTCGCTAAAGAACATGGGTGCGTGCACTCCACAGCCTGAGAATTCCCAGCTCTGTGGGTGGAGGGAAGAACTGAAGTGTGATGACCTGCACTCCTTCCTCTGCCAGGAAAGGGGGCGGGCTCATCCAATCACAAACACGGACCGAGTGAAGACGCGTACTGATCAAAAGTAATGCGGGCTCTGAAGTCTTAAAAACCTAAAAGCGAAAACCAAACAAAAATCAGCCCTAAAAGGCATTTGGAGAAATGTGGAGGTGGGATAGATGTTATTAAAGATCACTAATACCTACATGCATGATAACTACCGCCCATCCGTCAGCTTGCTGAACTATGGGGGTTTATGGGCTGCTGTATTGCTGGCAACAAAGACATCAGCATCTCGAATACCAGCAAGGCCAAGTTCCTGGAGTTTGTAGACTAAGGTCGAATGGGAAGACAGACTGTGGTGTGTTACTTCAGCTGAAAGCCCCAAGGATCACAGAAGACTACTTCCAGTGCGGTGCTGGAAGAGCAGTCTCACAGGCTGGAAGGCACTTGAAATACACAGCAGCCACCACAGGGTATGGGAGCATGGAAGAGGGAGCAGGACTGAGAAAGGTCTGTCCTGCTATGCACAGGACCGGGACAACGCAAGCAAGGAGGGTTCTGGAAGACACAAGTGTGAGGGAAGGGATGGCTGTGGAGGAAGATGGCATGCTCAGGGACCAGAGGTGATGGGTCATGTCTCCAGTTCACTGTCGAGTTGCTCATCACACCGGCACACCCCACCTATGTTCAAGAGGGCTTTGAAATGCTTATGGAGAAATGAGATTAAGAGAGAATGGAACTATCCCATGAACTCTTCGAAGCCTCCTCGTATAAAATACATGAACTGTGTGCATCTTCAGTGAGCGCTATGGACCAGGCATTCCAGAAGCTAACTCCATGGCTGGACAGACAGCTTGTATTATGCCAAGTCTCTGGGACTCGCCCCACCAGGCCATTGCATTCATAGCAGAAGGGTTGTGTGAGCCTGAAAGAAGGAAGACGTTCCATATGGGATTTTCATTTGTTTCTAGAAGGAAGAGGGGAAGAAACTAGGAGGTGGAAAGTGCACAGCAGCCCTTGGCAGGCTCCCGTCCCAGGGCGAGCACTGCGGGCATGTGGGGTGGGGGTGGGCCTCCTGGAGCCAAGCAGAGCGGTGCTGCCAGGTGTGGGGGCTCTCCCATGGCAGAGGGGCCTGAGCAGCTCTGTGCATGAGGCGGACAAGGGCTTCCTGTCCGCCAAGACAAGAGCCTCAATGCAGGCCAAGGGCCTCCGAGGCAAGGCCTGGGTTTATTTAACAAAGCGGGGAGAGTGCGTCTCTGGGAAGAGGCTGGCTCACAGGACCGCTTAGAAATGGGCTTTCTGGCAAGGGGTTAACGTGTGCAGGGGAGTGATGAACATTAATTTCCAGAGAACATGAAAAAAACTGTTAAATGCAGAAAGAGACGAGAAAGCCAAGGGGAACCATGTGATTTCTGACATACCCAACAGCCCACAGACTGGGACAAAGCAAGAAGAGAGGAGGATGTGGGGGAGCACAAAACAGGGCTAGGGAGCATGGCAGAGGTCAGGGGAGGCAGGTGGCAAAGAAACCAAGGCAGTACCAGGCCACAAAGCACAAGCCCAGGATAAGCAAAAAGGTGCTCAGAACATTTCCTGAGAATAATGCGAGACAAGAGGGACAGAAAAATGTTTCCAAGGTGATAAGCTTTCAAGTGAGCAGCCCACCCAGGGGAGGGGAGCTCTAGGGGCTGACGAGAGAGAGCAGCGACCTGTTTACAGAGCTACTAGAGTTGTAATATAGGTAACAAAATCCGAAAAGGTTTAGGACAGTGGTTCTCAACCTGGGGGTCGAACGACCCTTTCACAGGAGTCGCCCGATTCATCACAGTAGCAAAATGACAGTTATGAAGTAGCAATGAAAATAATGTTATGGTTGGGGGGGTCACCACCACATGAGGAACTGTATGAAAGGGTCGCGGCATGAGGAAGGTTGAGAACCACTGGTTTAGGAGAACATTTATTAACCACTTTCTGCAGGAGAAGGAGATGTCTTCAGACAACCCACAGAGGAGGGAACTAATGATCAGAGAAAGGTATAGCTGGCAGACGAGGGACACACAAGGGGAATATGCCCTCAGGAGAGCACCCAGATCTCCAGGGCCACTCGACAGAAGATTCTCTTGTTTGAAGAAAGCGTACTTGCAGGAGGTTAGAAGCGCACACGCTAGCAAGCTGCAATGTTACTAGCACCCCTAGAGCTTGTGCGTCCTCAAGTCCAAATTTGTACTCATCTGTAAGCTATAATTAGCTCAGATTCGTTACGCTAGCAGAGGCCTTTGAAGTCCAGTCCAGGCTCTGGTTCTCTAACAGGAAGAGGGCAGGGCTTGGGGATGCTGCCTTTCATTGCCAGGGAAGATGGACCAGGAGGAAATGTCTTAACTCGCAGCCAGGAAAAAGGATTAGAAAATGAGATTTTCCCCAGTTTGTTCAACACTGGAAAGACACTCCAGGCAAGGGTTAAAGTGCTGGTAAAGTGCTACAAAGAGAGAAGAAACCAAAGCTAGCAAGAAGACAAACCATTTTGAGGGAAGAGTATAAAATGAATGGGTACAGGATGTCACACTGCCACTCAGAAAAGCTTCGGGAGCCTGCTCCTGTCCTGGGGCCCCACAGGAGGAGTAAGCTCGGTCTTGTGCTTACTTACTAACAGTAGTGAACAGTTTCACATTGTCTCACCCCATCAAGGGCTGCATCTGGATCTGGCTGACCCCGGCTCTCTCCCAATCCTCCCCCAAGCATCTTCCTACATACTTGGCAGCTCTTTCAAGTTCACAATCCCTGCAACAGACGGTGTGCTCAGAAAGCAAGGTAAGCTTACTGGCTGGTCTGCAGGGAACAGTTTCACACATTTTTTTACATTATGTGCTGAAGTCCACGTGAAAGGGCTCATGATAGATTGGTAAGTAAGCACAAGTTAGGGGATGTTTACCTTGGTTATTGGGTAATGGGCCCCTATGGGCAAAACTTGGCTCAATGGGGACACTAGCGTTGGGGAGCAGGGCAGGACTCCATGGTCCCATCCCTGCCCGTTCCTTACCCTCGGTCCTGGCTCCTTGGGGACGGTGGGAACCCTCTCTTCTCCACTTGGAGAGTTGATGTCTAGTTTCCCAGGTTCCTTACACCGTGGCCTCCTCTGCTTTGGTTTGTCTGAAAAATTCTAGAAGGCATATGGAGACCAGTGTTACAAGGTATTCTTCTGATGAAAAAAAAACAAACTATAAACCCACTGCCACAGACTCGATTCCGTCTCACAGTGACCCTGCAGGACAGAGTAGAACTGCCCCTGTGGGTTTTCAAGGCTACAAATCTTTATAGGAGCCTCATCTTTCTCCCACAGAGCAGGTGGTGGGTTGGAACTGCTGGATTTGGGATTAGCAGCCCAACTCATAACCTACTACGCCACCAGGGCTCCCTTTTCTTCTGGTGGGGGTGGGGGGGGGGGCTTTTCAGTGGCCTTGCTACTTTCTCACTAATGGCCCTCTGCCACGCAGGAATCCAGTCAGTTAGGGTGGGAGCATTCAGTCCCCCTGGGCCTCGCCTAAGTTCTTTCACCTTGAAGCAGAAGCAGGAACACTCTAGTGGCAAGATGGGCAACAGGGCAGGTGGGCACTGGAGTAGATCACCTGAGCTGACCCAGGTCCTTCAGGTCCATCCATGCTCAGGCCTCAGCAGGAAGCAGTCCTGGAGTTGCAACCATCAAACTGAGACCTCCCGGATTAACTTGAAAAGAATACGTGCGTGCGTGTATGTGTGTGTGTGTGTAATCATGATATGGCAGAGCTGAAGCCCATTTTAAGGTTGCTCTGTGAGCTGAGACCGTCGTCTGGCTATTTGGGGGTGGTATGGTGTGTGTTTGTGTGTGTTGCTGAACTTAGGCAAGTTTTGTTCTCCTAAGATTTGGCCGGTGTCCTAACATGGGCCTCTGTTACTGGAGAGTTTGACACTCAAAGGCCAAACTTAAAAAATCCCCAAGGCAACAACTATGCAATTTCAGATGATGTTCTCAGTCGACACAGCATTCTCTGAACAGTTCCCAATGTCCTGGTTTCCCTCAGTGGGCTCCTTGTGAGGAACCACACCAGTGGGCAGGGTGTAAACAGTGGTGTCAGGCGATGGCCACACTTACTGTCCCAAAGCCGGGAACTTCTAAGGGGTAGTCGGACTGCTGCCTCAGCCAGTCGAGCAGACTCTTGCTAGGAATGGTCTTCTCAGCTTGGCTGCTGGTTGCTGCAACGGTTTCGGGCACCGAGGCAGCAGGCACTGGCTCTTCAGGGTGTGTGGTGCTCAGGGAAGCCTGCCCTGCATCTTCGTGCACTTCCTGAATAAAACAGAAAGGGATATGTGGAGTTAATCTTGACAGAAGGAAAGGTGGCTCCTGAAAGGAAATCACACGGGATTAAAGTGCTCTTCCACCTGTCCTGTCTGTCACCAGCCCAATACTGCCCTGAAAATAACGAATCTGGTGCTTAAGCATCCTCTCCCCCCAACTGACCCCCACAGAAGCTCTTGCACACGACGGGCATTCCTGCACTTGAAAGCTCCTCTCTCCCTCTTGTTGACTTCTAGTCTATCCTGACTGCTTCAACTCAGGGTCCACCTGTCACCAGTACAGACTGCTTTAGAAAAGTCACCCCAGTGTGGGACTTGCACCCCATCTGACCCCACCACACTGAGGCAAAACAATAATGGACGTGCAACAGAACAGCAAAGGGAACAGAGCAAGGAAGTCCCAAGGGAATACCAAAAATAGACCTTGGTAGAGAGAGGATGGGTTGGAAAGGGGGAATCGATTATAAGGATCTACATATAACCATTTCCCTGGGGAACAGACAATAGAAAAGTGGATGAAGAGAGATGTCAGACAGTGTAAAGTATGACAAAATAATAATTTATAAATTATCAAGGGTTCCTGAGGGAGAGGGGCGCGGGGACGGATGGGGAAAAAATGAGGAGCTAATACCAAGGACTCAAGTAGAAAGCAAATGTTTTGAGAATGATGAGGGCAACAAATGTACAAATGTACTTGACACAAGGGATGTAAGTATGGATTGTGATGTTATACGAGCCCCCAATAAAATGATTAAAAAAAAAGAAAGTTCTCCCACAGAGAGAGATATTGTCTCTCCCAGGAACAGAAAATGCCACACTGCAGTTTACTTATTTCCCCCTCTAGGGTGGAAGGTTTATTTTAGTCACCTCTGTATCCTCAATACTATAAGGAACTGATAACAGTACTAACAATATCTGCATAGTATAAGGTTGTCAGAAACTGTGCTTCTAGGCTTCTGCTCATGAGTTTATTTCAAACAAAATGTGCTTAAACATGTCTTTTTGACTAGTGGGTGGCTACAGACAAGTTCTCTTAAGTCTGTACACTAAGGTGTCTCTAAGGGGAAAAAAAGTCCATTTAAAATGACTTTTAACAAATGTTTTGAGGATGATAATGGCAATAAATGTACAAATGTGCTTGACACAATGGATGGATGATGGATTGTGTTAAGAGTTGTACAAGCCCTCAATAAAATGATTTAAATAAAAAAACAAAACAAAAATTAAATAAAATGGCTTTTAAGGGGCTTGCCTGTTAAATTTAAGGCAGAGAGGCCAGGATCGGAACATTGCTGTTTTTTGAGGATTATCATAGGGCTAACTATGAAGACATTTTTTCCCCAAATCATTTTATTGGGGGCTTGTACAACTCTCTTTTTTAAAAAAAATCATTTTATTGGGGGATCGTACAACTTGTACCACAATCCATACATACATCCATTGTGTCAAGCACATTTGTACATTTGCTGCCATCATCATTCTCAAAACATTTGCTCTCCGCTTAAGCCCCTGACATCAGCTCATTTTTTCCCCTCCCTCCCTGCTCCCCCTCCCTCGTGAATCCTTTATAATTTATAAATTATTATTATTTTGTCATATCTTACACTGAGTGATGACTCCCTTCACCCACTTTTCTGATGTCCATCTCCCAGGGAGGAGGTTATATGTAGAGCCTTGTAACTGGTTCCCCCTTTCCACCCCACCCTCCCTGCAGCTACGAAGACATTTTAAAAAGCTGGAAACTACCGGTGAGGAAAAGGCTGAGATGTTCGACTGAGGGGTTTCCCCATCATTCTTTCAAGGGCTGACCCACCCACTCTCAAGCTTTGATCTCTCTTCACTTTGTTCCCAAAACGCAAAGAATGTTGAAAAGAAAGTTGAGTCCCTCGAGGATGGTGAAGCTACCGTTTTGGCAAGGCGTGAATCCGTCAGTGTTGAGTGCTGTGAGGAAAGGGCTGACGGGAACACCTCTTTCAGACATGTGCAGACCCAGATACAAGGCTTGTTGAAAAACAGGACCTTCATATTCTGATGTTACGGTGTCATGATTTTGTAGCAGTACTTTTTGAGTTACTTTGTAAAGTAAGAAATAGTCTCTCTCCAGGAATCATGGGGAAAACCCCTGAAACTATTGCCGAGCTCATTTTTACAGCTTAAACCACAGATACCCCCCCAAACTCTTAAGACCAAACACGAGTCTGTGTTGAGCATGATGCTTCTGCTGACATTTTGACCACGCGCTCAGACTGAGAGCAGCACCTCCGAGGGTTAGACAGGGACCGGAGGCACTGAGTTCATGCTCATGGAGGAGGGCGAGGGCAGTGGCACAACGTCACTGAAATGAACATGCAGAAACCACTGAACTGGGTATGTTTTGCTGTGCATGCTCTCACCAACAAAACAAAGTGATATGACGACAACACAGACATGCTCTGTGTCAAGGCACAGAGTTCACTGGCCATTCCATTGGAATTCTACGTCATTACAGAAAAGCCTGCCTTTGGACTTCTTAAAATGAACCAACCTTCTTGAAAGATTTTTGGGCAGGGAAAGAATTTCAACTCTCCCAGTGAGAGAGAACTTCTGATACGAAGGCATCCCAGATATTACAGTTTAGCCATAAAGCTTTCAGGTTGCAGAGACACAACGTCCTTGGTTTGAGTCCCTGTTCTGCCATTTACTAGCTGGATAATCTTGGGCAAACTACGTAATACCTTTAAGGCTCCATTTCTTATGAAATGGGAATAACAGTAACCACTATCGTCATGGGGTTTTTGTGAGGATTAGAGAGGAGAGTCACATAAAACCCCAAACACAGTACCTGGTATACAGAGGATTTCAAGAAACATTGGCCTTTGGTCAAATTATCTAAATCCTTTAAACTCCATTTCTTCACTTTTGAAATAAAATGGGGACAACAGTAATGCATCTTCACTGGGTTCTTGGGGAGGCTGGAGAGGAGATTCATATAAAACCATGATCACAGTGCCCGGTACAAAGACGATCTCAAGAAATATTGGCTACTATTCCTTTTAAAATAAAGTGAACGTGAAATGTGGTTTCAGTTCTAGCACTCAAAATCGAATTAATGGGGATAGTCAAAACACTAAGAGAACTCAGGAGTCTTTAACACATACATTCAAGTCTGTGGTGTTTTTCTCCCCGTCAGGCACACAGCTCTGACCATCTCTGTTCTCTACATTTGTCACCTTTGGATTCAGGGTGTGCCTTGGGAGTCAGAACCGACTCGATGGCAGTGGGTTTGGTTTGGGGGTAGTTGGCGCACAGAGTCCTGGTTGTGCTGTGGGCTAAGCATTGGGCTGCTAACTATAAGGTCGGTGCTTCAAACCCACGAGCTAGTCTGCAGGGAAGTTGAGGCTGTCTGCTCTCCGAGAGTCAGTCTTAGGAGCCCAAGGAGCAGCTCTACTGTGTCTGGAGGGCCTCCGAGCTGGAATCACAGGCTGGGTAGTTGGTATATTCTCAGGCAGTCCTCCCAGCAACCCTCTGCAAGAGATGCTGCAGCCCCACTTTACAAAGGAGCACACTGAACTTCACTGGTGCACCCGACGTCACCTGGTAAGTAGCAGAGCCAGGGTCCACTTTCAGGCACTGACTCCCCACACACCAGCTCCTGAAAAGCCTCCTTGACCTGCTACTGCAGGTCAACCTTATTGTCTCACTAGCTCGTTCTTTCACCAGCGGCTCATGCAGAAACACTCAGGACCTGGGGTCATTTCTATTTCAAAAGCAAAGTCCTGACTTACTTCACCACGAAGCATGCACATTAGGGACACACTGGATTCAGATCTATTTATCTAACAAAAAATGAGGGCAGCTAATAATGAGAGAATATAAAAGGGATATTGAAATAGAAATAAAAGATGGTAAGTCAGAATACTTTATATGCCTAAGGAAGAGGAATTTGTTTCTCAGTCCGTGGGGAAGAGTCAATATTTCTTAGAGTCATATACCCACCAAGATTCCTGCATGCAGTGTTTGCTCCTTCAGAAAAATGAGGTCCATCCCCTCTTCCACATGTTTCCGTCTCCCTCGCCGCCTCCTCGTGGCTGCATCATCTCTTCTCAGGCTTCCATTGACAATCTGTCCAGTCACTGGGTGGATTAGGCCAGCCTGCAGAATCCCAGACAAGTCCATGCCAAGGGCTCCTTGAAGCGAACTGATTGTCCCAATCTTAGGGGTGCTGGCGCTGACTGGGAAAGGGGAGGTAGCTCCTGGGGACCCCTCAGATGTGCAAGAGAGGTCGATAGCCGACTCCCCATGCCAGCCATTGAGGACAATGGGAGGGTGCCCATGGGTGGCAGAGAACTGGTCCAGACTCCGAGCCTTGGCATCCCTCTCCACTTCAAACTCATAGGGATGTCTGTGCTTCTGTTCCTCCTTTGTGAATACTGGAGCCAGGAAGCTCTCCTGTGAACACACAGATGCGGCAACAGAGGCTTCAACATCACTTGTATGGATGGCTCTCGGCAGTTGATCTCCAGACCTACTTCTCAGAAGCTCTTCTAACTCAGGGTTTCTCACACCACAAGGCGTGCTGTTAAATGTAGATTATACTTCAGTGGGCCTGCACCTCTAACAGTTCTCAGATGCTGCCTAGTCCTTGGACACCAAACACTTGGGAGTTGCAAAGTTCTAACACAGTGATGCTCAATCTCATCTCATCAGTATAGCGGAGACGCTTGGGGATACCTAGCCCACACCCCAGACTCAACATCTCCAAATCTGTGGAGGGGAGACCTAGACACCAGTAGCACTTACAGATCCCTACTGATTGCAGTGTATAATCAAGAGTAAGAACCAGGTGGAAATGCTCACTATTACCTGGGTTCTGCTAGTTTCTGCTGGCTGCTATAATCTGCTCATTGATTCCTTGTGCTCCTCATGTAAATACTTTTATAAATCAAGTCACATTTTGGTAACTGCTGCCCCTTTCCTGGATTCCTTGTACTACTAACCTACAGTCTAGACCAGTGTTTCCCAAAGTGAGCAATACCAAGGCCTGGGACACGGGAACAATCCAGGAGGCTCGCTCGCAAGCAGTACTGAGTGTTATCCTGGGTAATGAGCTGCAGTACAAAGGTTTTTAATTGGCGGGTGGCAGCACTGAGCACTTTTCTGTAAAGGGGGTAGTACGTTAAATACGTTTGGGACTCTATATTCTAGAGCCTTCCTTATTGCTTCAACAGTGCCTTCGTGACCCTGCAGCTTCCATGGCACCTCCCATGAAAACCCTGCTCATCATGCACGCTCTGTCCCCAAACTTTGAATCTGGGGGTCGAACGACCTTTTCACAGGGGTCGCCTGATTCATAACAGTAGCAAAATTAGTTATGAAGTAGCAACAAAAATAATTTTATGGTTGGGGGGGGGTAGAGCCACCACATGAGGAACTGTATTCAAGGGTCGCACATTAGGCAGGTTGAGACCCACTGGCCTATAGGATAAAGTCCAAATCCCTCCAGTCACTCTAAGGGCTTTGTTGTCAGAGAGTGTCAAGGGCCCACCGTTGTTTGTTTTGTGGTCAACACCACACTATGGCCTCACCTTCTGGATCTGGGCCACCAATGATGGGCCATTGCTGAAGCTGTGCTCTGACGCTTCTGGCTCCGAGAGGCTGTTTCGAGAACCAGCACTGCTGGTCAGCACAGGGGTGGGCAGTGGGCCCGAGGGCTCATACTGTTGGCCGGAGGGCCACTTCCCCTTCAACACCACGTGGCAGATGTTATCTAGGCGGTTAATTATCACACGATCCTATTTAAAATAAAATAAAACAACAAAAAACCACTCTGAAAGGATAAGCAACAAGTTACCCACATTCAGAGAGGCCCGTGAGATCAAGGGTCAAGATTTCTAACCAAAATAAGAGTTCATTGATGTACTCATTTCATAAGTCTTGAAATAAAAGCCAGGGCAATCTGATCAATAACATAGAAAGGCAGAGTGTTGTAAATATGAAGACAATTTGGATACACCGGTCTTATGGGTGTAACTAGTACAGTATATATATATGTGTGTGTGTGTGTGTGTGTGTGTGTGTGTGTGTGTGTGTGTGTGTGTGTGTGAAGGTTCAAATGCTACCTCAACAAATAGCTTCTGACGGCTATCTAACGTTTCTCTGAGCCTGTTGCTCAGAAATACTCCAAAGGGTCTGAAATAAAGGATCCTAAGCTGTAAGCACTCTGGATGGAGCACACGGATGCTGGCTGGTACCTTCGGCCACTCAGAGAAGGAATGTAGGGTCTTTTCCTGCAGCAGCTGGGCAATGGTGGGAGCCCGCGCCTCCTGCAGGTCCTCCCCAGTGTCTCCTGCTGCGCCTGGTGGTGAGCTCTTACTCTCCTCTTCCGAGTATTTCCCGGGGTAGCCTGGGAAGAAATGTGAATCAAAATCAGGGATAAGTAATAACTGTTCTTGCAAATAGATTTATAAATAGAAACCTAGTTGAATCCCATTATCATCTTCTTGGGGGACTGGGGGACAGTGAGGGGGGGGAGGGAGGAAATTAGGCCTTGGGTATGATAGTGCTTTGTGAGATCAGGGCACACAACCACTCTTACTTTGTAAAAAATCAGCCTGTTTTAGGGGAATTTATTTGATGTTTGAAAGTATCTGTCATCCTTGTGACTTCCAAAAGGACCAGTGTCAGGATTCAGTCACAATGGCAAGTCCTGCTACAGGGCTACCAATGTGGCTTAGCTGGCACAGTTCTTCTAAGAAAAGCCCCCTCAAAAGAGGAAGAAAAACAAAATTTTCTCTGTATCCAGGGCAAAGGGAGATGACCACAGAAGCTCCTCACGCTTGGAGGAACAAGAGTTTTGCGTCGTGTGATAAACAAGGTGTTTGAAGGATCAGTCTATGAGACGTAATACAGCATGAGGCTGACAATGAAGTCATGAAATTTATAAGGAACAAAATGTAAAATAAGCATGATTCATGTTTTTAAAATATGAGTTTTTTAATGTGTTTTAAAACGTGAGGCTTTTTTGGGTGGCAAACCTAAAGCATTAAAATGATTCTCTGATGAAAAAAAAAGAAAGGAAATGCAATCCATTCAGGTTTTGGAGGGGAAGTTCATCACTAACGGAATGCAGGAACACTATGCTTGGTAGAGGAGGCGGCCAGGGAAAAAGAGGAAGACCGTCAGGGCGTGGACTGACATCGGCTGCAACTAACACTGATTGTGAGGCTGGTGCAGGACCCGCCGTGCTTTGTGTGTGCACACAGGCCGGTCGCTACGAGTTGGAACAACTTGATGGCACCAACAACAACAGACAGGCCTATACACATATCACCAAAGCTTATCAAGGTCACTAATCCCTCCCATCTTGACTTAGCAAGTCTAACACTGTCACCAATAGCCATCCAACACAGCGCAGAACACATTTAATTTCCACTAAGCTATACTCGTTTTGCCTTGTATTCCATTTATCACTTCAGTTTCCAGACCCTGATTACTTGGTGAGTTTCAATGCAAAAACAGCTAAAAAAGCAGTGGGTTTTAAATTCAGAACACATGGTTTGATCCTTCCTGGACTTGGAGTGTCGAAGACAGGAGGCTTCTCCGGTATTGGATTGGGCTCTATTAAACTACTTTAGGGGGAACCGATTACAAGGGTCTACATGTGACCTCCTCCCTAGGGGATGGACAACAGAAAAGTGGGTGAAGGGAGACGTCGGACAGGGCAAGATATGACAACATAATAACTTATAAATTAACAAAGGTTCAGGAGGGAGGGGGGAGCAGGGAGGGAGGGGAAAAATGAGGAGCTGATGCCAGGGGCTAAGTGGAGAGCAAATGTTTTGAGAATGATGAGGGCAATGAATGTACAAATGTGCTTTACACAATTGATGTAAGTATGGATTGTGATAAGAGCTGTATGAGCCCCTAATAAAACGATTAAAAAAACAAAACCACTTTAGATCTGACTCTTAGTCCTTCTCCTGGCTAGTGTAAAGATTTTTAATTTGGGCTTAGGATACTTCCAGACAGTCCTTAGTAATAATGATTAAAGCCAAATCAAGGGCATCTACAATGAGAGGAAGCTGGGTAACTCAAGGGTGCCTAGCTCAGCTCCTCCCTCTCTGAAGAGAGGCTGTGCTGTCTCACTGACTGAGCACAACACCCAGCATTAAGCAAGGCACGGATAAAAGCTCTTGTTTGACATGAAAGGAGAATCAGGACTCTTTTTAGTCACTTTAATAAGCCCTCTTGGGTGAGAAAAAAGAAAAGCAACGTTAAAAACCAAATTTTATTGTTCTTTGGTTTTATTGGTTCTATTTATATTCTTACAAAGCACAAAAAGCCTGAGGACCACCTAGAGATGTTAACATTTTAAATCTCTTCCTAACTTGAACTCTGATGCCAGCGCACATCAAAAAAAGCTTTGCTACAAAATCATAGAAATGTTATTAAACAAAAATTTCCATATGGGAAGCTATTGTTTCTTGGCATCCCCTCCTTCTAGGGCTATACATATGGAGGCAGGATTTCCATCCCTCTAACCCCTACTTCTTTGACTTACAACATGTCAAAGCAGCCACTCAGGCACCCTCCAGGGATGCCAGTGTTCCTTCCTTTTCAATGCTCTGAGTTTGTGGAACAAAGGGAAGGCTGCAGGGGTAAGAGCAGGGCTGGCAAGTGGATAGTTAAGGTTTCCCAAGGAAATTCTTGTAGAATAGCCCTTGCTCCCCTCGAAGGATGAAAGGGCACATTGCTGTGACAGGGGGAAAAAAATTCCACAATGTAACTTTTGGGTATTTTTCTCACCAATACAGTTTGAAATTTTCGTATTAACGTCTTCCTAATAAGCCCCTATGATCATCTGTGTCCTCTGATAAGGGCTTCAGGATTATCCCTTTGGAGTCCAGAAAACAGTTGTCATGGTATTCTGAGCTGACCTCTCTGCCTTGAGTTTAGCTGGCCCCGTGGATGCCCTAGCAAAGCCCTGTTCTGACTGGACCTTCTTCTCTGAATTGCAAGGCAAATCCAAGACTCATCCTCTGGTGATGAGAAAAAACAAAACTAACAAACAAAAAAAATCCCCTCACTTCTATCATGTTGATTCTGATTCATAGCGACCCTATTAGAAAAAGAATACAAAGCACCAAACTCACCATCACGCCAATTCCGACTCACCGTGACCCTACAGGACACAGCAGAGCTGTCCCTGTGGGTTTGAGGCTCTATAAGTCTTTACAGGCACAGAACGCTTCATCTGTCTTCCACAGAGCAGCTGGTGGTTCTAAACTACTGACCTTGTGGTCAGCAGCCCACTAAAAGCCACCAGGACATTAGTGACCATTACAGACAGAGTAAAACTAGAACCCGAGTAGCAATACTTTATTTACCCTTGTATAAGACTCTACCTGTATGAAAAAAGATAAAATCTGCTTGTGTTTTTTGTTGAGCTACTAACAATCCCCCACCCTGTTGTTACTAAAAGGAATCTTAACCAAAAGCATCAACATTAAAACACATTTTTCGGACAATGCTCGGGGATGGGGGGAGAGCACTACTTCTGCCCCCCTTGATAGAAATCAAGCTTATTTGTATCTAAATTGAGGTTTTGAAAAATTAACCACCTACATTAAATTGTAAGGAGTCTTCATGGCGTAGTGGGCCGCTAACTGCAAGGTCAGCAGTTTGAAACAGCCATTCCTCCGCACAAACATGAGGCTGTTTACCTCTGAAACCGATTGTGGTAGTAAATGTACAATTCAGCTGAACGTTGACTGAACTATGGAATGATTTGATATATGTATTAATCCAAATAATAAAAAAAAAGAGTTAGTCTTGGAAACCCACAGGGGAAGTCCTACCTCATCATCAGGTTTCAGGCTCATGCTGTTAAAGGCTGATGAATTTTAACGAGTTTGAGCAGAGCAGTGCCCTAGCCCCACACTCAGTTGGGCCCACAGTGCCAGAAAAGGTCAGTGACTGCCCACTGCCACCTTTCCTCTTCAGAAGCAGTACAGTTAGCTACTCTGGTTTTCAGACTGAAGCCTGAATCTCCAGCTGCAGACACACGGTGAATATAAGGAGGTACACTTCAAAAGTCATTAAAACCCTCTGTCCAATTGGGCCTCCACTCAAGTACTCCCTCAATGCAAGAATACTTTATTCTATTAAATTGGCATTCTATGATGCTCACCTTCCCGACACAATCGCTGAAGACAAAGCGGGTGAATAAGCAAATGTGGTGAAGAAAGCTGATGGTGCCCGGCTATCAAAAGATATAGCAGCTGGGGTCTTAAAGGCTTGAAGATAAACAAGTGGCCATCTAGCTTAGAAGCAACAAAGCCCACATGGAAGAAGCACACCAGCCTGAGTGATTACGAGGTGCC